GATAAGCACAAAATCTTCACAAATGTAAGCCTAAAACATGCTAGAAACAAAGGCACACAACCTAAGACATGTTAAGGCATAACAAGGCATTACATGGCAACTATGCTAAGCATGCATGGAGTACCAAAACCAACAAAAAATAGAGGTGTAATACAACATATTAAGCATGGAAAGCAGCCAAGACATGGTCAATACACACTCTATCATGATGCTCCCTCAAGAGGCCAAAATATGCCCTTTTCAAGGACAACAAGGAGAGGGGGTGGCCCTCTCCTTCTTGGGACTTCAAGGCATCACCTTCACCACTGAAATCCCTCAAGATTTCAGTGGTGAAGAGACCCCAACACCAAAATCCCGGAGTTCACACAAAAGGGCACAAAATGAGCTTTCAAGGCCTAAGAGGGGTCAAACACCCTCAAATCACAAAACACCCTTAATAAACAATCAAGAGGGTCTAAAAACAGAACTTTTTCGTATTATACACTAAGCTCAAAAACGATTTAAAGATAGGTAGAAATAAGGTGCAAAAATGGGGAATAAAGGGGTGAGATTCTTACCCTTGAAGCCTTCTTCAACAATGATGCTCCAATGGCCTTCCTTAGCTTGAATCCAACACCAAAACCTCAAAATCATTCCCTTAGAACCTCAGTTCCAAGAGGAAGGTGAAACACTAGGTGCTTGTGTGCAATAGTATGGACTAAAACACACACAAGAGCACAAAAGAGAGGAAAAGAGAGATAGGATGTGTATCTAACCCTAACCCTAGAACTCAAACCCTAACAATGGCTGTCTAAGCTCTCAAAATATCTTAAGTCTCTAACCCCTCAAGCCAAGAGACAAGCCCCTCTCTATATAGAAGCTTTTGTCTTGTAAAGCTTACAAGACAAGCTTCCAAGAGAGAGATCCCTCCATACACGTGTATGGAGGGGAGCCAAAAGAAAGACAGCTGTCTTGAAATATCTACAAAAGCAGATGCACAGTAGTCGGCAGGCCAAAAATGCCATCTTGGCCAAAAAGAGTGCCGACCGGCACTAAAAAGTGCCGACCAGCAAAAAACTATGCCGACCGGCAAACTACAGTGCCGATGGAGGCAAAAACCAGCCGGTGGCCTCTAGCCACTGCCGGTGGTGGGTGGGGATGGTCTACAAGCCCTACCCTGCCTCTCCAAGGCAAAACACAAGTGTTTGGTGTGAAACCAGACACTAAACAGTCAAGTTCGGAGATCCTGAGGCAAGGCGCGCGAGCCGAGACCTCCGGGAACTCCAAACGAACACAAACATGGATAATCACCGAGTGTTCAAACGGTGACGTCCAAGTCTTGAGGACGGTCAAAAATGGGGTGTCTACATATGCATGCTTCATACACTTGTAGTGTAATCCTACTTGCTTGCCTAACATGCTTCATGTCTTAGCCTATAATTCTAGCATGTATTGGCTCCACACTAGCATGTTTTTGGCCATTATTTAACATGCTTCAACTCTGATTTTAGTTGGTTGGACCACCACTTTCTTGGTTCTTTCACTTGTAGTGCAATCATGCTCCTTAACCTAGTGTACTTGGTGTTTTGACCTTTCATTCTAGCTTGTCTTGGCTATACTCCATGCATGTTTTGGTATTATTTTGACATGCTTTAGGACTTTTTTGAGTGTTCTTGGCCTTTTGGGGGCTTGCTTTGTATAGCTATAGTGTAAATGACTTCACTAGTCTTGAGTTTCGAGGCCCCTAGCATGCTATATTTATGATGTGTGCATGATATGGCGTGATTTGGTATGAAATTTCAGAGCTTATATCTTTGCCATGCTTTCACTTAAATCGCTCTTTCAATGCTTTTGAGAAGTTGAGCATCATGCCTTGTTTGTGAGCCAATACTTGAGCTTATCTTTCTTGCCATCTATGCTACGAGTCTAGCATGCTTTTCCTACTGTTTTGACCTACCTTAGGTCTATTTTGAATGGTTAAGGTCATTTGAGCATCGCTTACTATGGTTGTAGTGTAAAGGGCCTTGACTAGCCTTGAGTTTTGGGGCCTTTAACATATTGTATATGTGTTGTTTATATGATATGGCATCATTTGGCATGGTATTTCAGAGCATATACTCCCATCATACACTCATATATATCGCTCTTTAGTTGTGTTTGAGAGTTGAGCCTTATGCCTCGTTTATGAGCCAACGCATGAACATCATTTTCTTGCTTTTCATGCTATCTTCTCGGTTCATTTTAGCCACTGTTTTGGTCCTATTGTAGCTTTGTTTTGGGCTGGTTTGGTTTTTTGTGCATAGTATTGCATGCCTCCAGTGTTGTGTCCTTCGCTAGTCTCGGCGTTTTGGGTTCCTAACATGTTTTACATGAGTTGTTTGCATGTTATAGTCTTAGTTGACATGCCACTTTAGCAGTAAAATTTAGGCCATCTCCCTCATATTGCATGCCATCTTTCATTTGTTGTATCACTTTGAAAGAGGTCTTAAGCCCTTTGTTGGTTTGAGCACGAAATTGAGGCGTTCATGCTCAACGGCATGATGCTTCTTTCGTGCTCAAGAAGCTTGTGGCTTGGTCCGTCTTTCCAAATTAGAGGACTTCTCACTTTTGGATTTAACCAGTTAAAGGACTTATCGGTAATCTAAAACGAGTAAACAAAATGAATTAGAGTAAAACATGCCAAGATAACATGTTTGTGATGCATTGCATGTGTTTGAATTGGACGTTAATCCAAACACGAGAAACGAGGGACGTTTCATACTCAAAGTGATGAAACGTGTTTCATTTCTTAGTCGTCGTCCCCCTTGATTGTGTATGATAGGGTGGAGGCCTCTTGAGTCTTGTGTGTTATTTGTGTATTCATTAACGTGTATAAACTTGGCTTCTCGACCATCATGCATTGCGATGCTCGGTTGGTGGCCCGAGAGTCGAGTACCACACTCCTTTGAGCTTGAGAAATGATAAGGAGGGTAGTTGTACACACATATCCTGTAAATGCCTTGCTTTGCCCCTGTTGTACTCTGTTTGCAGCAAAATTGGAGTGTGCAGAAGCAAGTGGTCGACCGGCCAGTGGAAGTGGCCGACAGTTCTCAGGCTTAGAGGTGGTCCAAAGTTATTCTGGTTCTAGAGCAGAAACAACCTAGAGATTGGTTCGGTGTTCAGGAATCAAGGCAAATGCAAACAGAGGCAACCGGTGGCAAGGCGATGGATTTTTGGGAGGAAGCCGATCAAGCATGCATGCATCCCCTCATCCCGAGGCCTTTAACTGATTTGCTTAGCTGGTTAATTCGTTGGTTCTGTGCGTAAATAGTTAATGTGCTTAGCTAATCGGTTTGTGTTGTAATAATTAGTTAACTAGAATAGTTAGTTAATTAGTTGATTTGGAATAGTTAGCTTAATTAGCGTAGCTAGTTAGCTCTTTTTCATTTGGACCCTCCGTCGAGAGGGCAAATGTTGTAATAAGTGTGCGTGTGTGTGTGCATGTCTTCCAACCCCATGTCTTTCTCCTTTTTATTTACTTGCTTTCAGTGGTTAGATTAGGGCATATTTTGACTAGCATACCTTATGCTTGCATGTGTGCATCATTCATTCGTCTTGTATGCACCGGGCTCGGCGCCTCATTCAAACTGCATTGTATTTCAATACCTACTTGAATACGTGTTTCAAAGCATGTTATCAAGTGTTGCATTCATATGCCATTCTAGATAGCTGAGCCAATTTTAAGTTGCATTTTTGCATGTGTTGCATTAGGCATCTTAACATAGCTAGGATCATGCATGATTTCTAACTAGCTTCTGTTTTGGCTCGGAGTACACTGTAAGTTTTACGCTTTAGCATCCTTGCATGAGTGTAAGTGATTACCATGACAGCATGCTTGCCATGAGACTATTTGCTTAAATGATTAACTGCATGAATGCCTGTGGATGAAGGCTTCATTACTTGAATTGGGACAATTCATCAAAATGTGAGTTTTAACGCACTTTGCGGAGTGGCAAATCATGTTGTTTTAAGCCCACTTGAGAGCCTACTTGCGAGTAGCATCTTCAAACCATTTTCAAAAAGAAAAACATGAGATGTTTTGTTCCAAATCGAGCGATTTAGTCTATACTTGCATGCTGTGCACATCACATAGTAAGGTTAGCTAATAAACCAAAATAAGATCACATGTGTTTTCAAAAACAACATATCATGTTAGTAGAGGCCGATCCTTTCATCGAGCGAGAGGGGGCGCTCATTTCAGGACCTTCCCCTCTCGTACCCAAGTTTTCGAGTCGAGGCAACTTTGGTGATGACGGACACGTGGCTTTTGGCACGAGTTAGGGTTTCCTAAATTTCCCAAAAACAAAATATTTAGGTGGCGACTCTGAAATCAAGCAAAGCAGTCCATGTTTAGTGCTTTTTTGATCGAAATCAATTTTCCAAAACGATTTGTCGAATTTGGACTCTTTCTTGATTTATCAGTCTTACATTGCACTTTGTGAGATTAGATTCAGAACCGTGACAGGAGTTCGAACTGTAGTAGCTAGAACCCAATTCGTGCCCTCGCGTGCGGAGCGAGTTTCGGGGCGGTCTACACTATCAGTGGTGGCCGGTAAGGCTTCATTGATGGCCGGCAAAGGAGAAGTGGTGGCTGGTAGCCTTCAAGGATGGCTGACAAGCCATCAGAAATTTCAGGCTGAAAAGACCCAGGCATGGTCCAAAGATGAGACAAAATGGATGCAGGGTTTGAAATGCTCAAACTTGTGGCGTTCTGCCCTGGACTTCAAGTGCTCGACAAGCAAACAGGCTCGTCATCGGATGTACCTGCAAGAACATCCAAGTCTTAAAGGGCCGTAAAAAATGGGGTGTCTACAGTTTCCCAATCATTCTACATCCTTTAGTCCATGACTCTATGACACCATATTCTTCCATTACCTATACATGGTTAGTCCTAATCGTTTTCACAGAAGTAAAAACAGCTTCATAGAGGATTAAAACAAGTGACTTGCCCAATACTGTAATAGACACGTTTGTTCGGAGAATCACATCAATTTGATGGTTTGGCAAAGCTTTCTTAGATTAAATACAACCCAATGAGCAGCCCCATTCATAAACGCAGGCAAGGAATCAAAACCATAAAGTTCATAACATAAATCCCCAATACAAATGGATCTCCAAGAACCCGTGATAAGCGCAAAAAGCTCCACCCTATGCATAACACAACGACGATGGTTATCCTTTGCATCCATAATTTTCACCACTTTATAGCCATTACTCATGTGGTCGAACCCAAATCCAAAATCAAACCAAAGCAAGTGACAAGCCTTGGTTACAGAAGAACAAGACTTGAGAAGTTTCAGGAACCTCCTAATTGATGGGTTCCATAGAACAACGTATTCTAAGCCATAATAATCCAATAAGCACAACAACCCATCACTTGAACCAACAATCTTGTCGTAGTTTTGAAATGGGTAATCAAGTTTTACAAACTCATCTCCAAATGTCTTGTCATCAGTAAATGACAAGCAGCAATCTCGATTCTCATAGTTGAACTTGATGAGTAGTTTGTGATTGTGGTTTGATTTAGTTCGATTGAGGTGCATGGTGATGAAACTTGGGTTGGTGATTAAGGAGTACCAAGATTTACAAACTGACCTGAATCGAAGCAAAATTTCACAAGTAGTCTAGCAAGGATTTCGATCAAGACATCCTTAGGTATGCAAGCGTTCGACACTGATTTCTTCGTCGTCGTTGTCATTTTTCTTCTCTTGCTTCTGAACTTGTTCATCGTTGTCGTCGTAGTCTTGCATTTGCTTTTGGTGAAAAGGGCAAAGAAAGGAAAGAAAGTAAATAGAAGTAAAGACACGTTAAAAATTGGAGAATTTTTAGTATTTAACCCTAATAATAATAATAATAATAATAATGAGTTTATCAATTTAAACTTTAACTTTTTTTTTTCAACCTAAACTATTTACTTATTTTTTCTTAAATAAGACTGATAGAAAAAAGTTTGATATTTTAGCCATTAAACTAATATAAAATGTCTAAAATACTTTTTTTTCCTGTTTAATAGTTAAGATATTATTTTTTTATTAATTTTATTTAACAGAAATAAGCAAATGATTTACATTGAAAATGATTCAAAATATTAAAATTTAAATTAACAAAATTAAAATTGATTTATATAAATCAAGAAACGATTTATTAAAATATATTTTGCTTTAAGAGTCAAACTCTAATTTATTTATTTATGTATTTCTTTTAATTTCTCTCAAAATAAATAAATGTTAGTAGGATGTTTTTAAAATCAAATGTCGATTTAATTCTTATCCAAATAAATCATAGAAACAGTTTTGAACCCAAGAAAAAAAAATAACGAGCAACATTTTTAAGGAGAAATTACTTGTCAGTGATAATTTGAAACAATTATTACATTTGTATGATAAAGTTTATAATTTTAATTAGAAAATTATTTAAAAAATCTCAAAATTTGACTATAATATCAAATCAACGTCACTTTTATCAATTTAAACTCTATATTTCTGAATTCATTTCAATTCTAACCACCTGTCAAACTTTGTTACATTGTAAAAAAAAAAAATTAAAAATTAAAAAGATTTAAAATTTCAAAACTAACAAAACAAAATTAGCAATAACTATCAGTTTATGTCATTGAACAAACAAAGAAAAATTGAATAAGAAAATGACACAAAAAATGTTGATAAAAAAGTGAAAAAATATCCATAAAATGATTTAATAAAATAAAAGTAAGAAGGTTTACAATCTATACAAAATCCCATAAAAATTTATATAATACCCAAAGATTTATGAGATAAAGAGAGTACCAACAACGATCGGCGGTGAGGCAATCAGGGGAGAGATGGATAGCAAATATGGACAGACTCAACGAGAGAGGAAGAGGGAGGCGAGAGGCATGATATGTAATCTTATATACGAGAGAGTAAGTGAATTAGGTTTAAATGAGAAGTGATTGGGTGTGTGTGATTGTATGTTTATTAAAATACACATGGTTGGAATGCATTAGTAAATTGGTGGATGGGTTGGTTGGAGTTGTAGGTTGGCACTTTGAAACCGCCACCCGTATTGCCCTTAACCCGTAATGACCTCCAAGCTGCCCCGCTAGATTTCAAAAAATGTCTGATTCGGTGACTTCCACAGGCATGCAAGCATTTGACATAGATTTCTTTGTCGTTGTTGACATTTTTCTTCTATTGCTTCTGAACTTCTTCAGTGTTTGGGAAAAAAGACGATTGAGACTAGACAAAGACCAATGAAGGGATGTAAATTTCAACCACAAACCAGAACGTAAAACCCAAAACCTATAAAGAACATAAAGCCAAAACCCTAGGACTACACAATGTATTTTGGGTTAAAACCTAAAACCAAGATCTAAACTTGTTGTATCAACATAACAGATCAAAAATCGAAACCCCAGATTCAACTTTCCCACAGATTAGAACACCAAGGATAGATTACTGGCAATGAAAATTGAAAATCAAAAACTCATTTGGTTTAGTGATTCTGAAATAATTTTTAGAACTCTATTTGGTTTTAGAGTTTTCAAAAATAATTTTTGAATTTCAATCCGTCTTTTATTGTTTATATGTGAACTTTTTAAATATTTTAATCAATGATTTTGAATTTTTGGTCTACTCAATCTAAACACACTTAAAACGTACAAAATTTATGAAAAAAAAATCTTTTAAAAAATCATTAAATACTAACAAACATGCGCAAAAAAAAATATTTTTTTAGTTATACTCAATCTAAATACACTTAAAACATAGAGATAAAGTTGATTAACTTGGAAATATGATGTACCACATACTTCAAAATATATATGTATATATATATATATATCGATTCAATTAATGTAGCTTTGGTAATAGAAATAAATTTGATCTGAAATAGTCTTAGGAATAAAGATAAATTTGGAATAGATTTGAAATAGTTTTGGTGATAGAGATAAATATGATTTAAAATAGTCTTGGGAATAATGATAAATTTGGAATAGATTTGAAATAGTTTTGGGAATAGGGATAAATTTAAAATTGTTTTGGAAATAGAGATAAACAAATGAGAATTCAATTTTGAGCTCTCAAAAACTCATTCGAAAATCCAAATCAAACGTGGCCGTAGATTCTCATCCGCGATCCAATAAATTCTATTGTGCAATAGGGAGTCCTGAAACTAAGTTAGTGTTACCAAATTTGTACATCATTGACCTCTCTCATAATGGTTTTGTAAGGAAATTGCCAACAAAATATTTTCAAAATAGAATGCTGTAGATACGCCATTTTGATCGCCCTTAAGACTTGGGCGCCTCACTCTGAACACTCGATGATAAAATGTTACGTTGTGAAATCGTTCGAAGCTCTAGCAAAATGGTTTGGTTTCAAACTTTATAAACCTAAACCTTTCACCTCCTTTTTGAACAAAAAACCTTTTTTTTTTTTTTTTTTTTTTGACCTAACCACTCGAGGAACTGCTGACCAGCAAATGACTTGCAAGCCGTTTTCATTGGGCCGGCTGTATACCCTCATGGCCGGCCAGCCATGTTTAATGACATCAAATATTTTATAGCAGCCAGCTGTCTCCATGCCGATGTTTTGCACCAGTTGTCTCTTTACAGATATTTCCAACGTAAGATTTCCTTTTTCTATAAATACAAGGCCTCCCCTTATGGTTTGGGGTTAGAAATTTTTGCCAAGAAACATAATTTGTCCAACACACTTCCCTCTTCTCTTGCAATATACATACACCATACATACACCTTACAAGCTAGAACTTGAAGCATTTGCTGAGATTTGTGAAGATAATTTTAGCCTCTTGAGAGTGCTTAACTTATGATTTGTGAGCTAAGAAGCTCTTCCTCCCTTTAAAGGAGTAATCTTTGAGCTTTTGTACCACCTTTTCTCTCTATTTTCAGAGTGTTTTGGGGCCTAAAATAGGTGATTTAAAGTCACAAAAAAGAGGAGGGGTTAGCCACCTTTCCTTAGGCTTGTTGGTTGGTTAAAACCCCTTGGTTTTATTCTATTTTTGCTCACTTTTTCTACCTCTGGAACTTGATTTTTAGCACTTTTTTGTGCTGTTTTAGTGCTTTTTAGTGTGTTAAATTGTGTTTTCAATATTATATTTGTGTTGTTGTAAATCCTCATGGATTTGGTGTAGGCCATAGTTTCCAATCCATTTGAGTTGATAGCCTTTTACTTCTTTTTTATAGCTTTCATATACATATTCACACCATTGTAATAATCCATTTTTCATTAGCACTCTGCAATCTTACTTCTTTCTTTGTTTCTTTGATTAAGAATTGTATCAAACAAAAGATTGTTGCTCATGGCATAAGAAAGAGACCGCTTATGCTAAATGGTTTAATCTCTTCAGAGATTCATTACTAGGGCATTACATCTCTCTTATGCTAAGCGTGATCTCTTGTTTGATACTTCTCTTTATCGCCAGTGCATTACTTCCGAGGGACTAACTTTCTAGTTAGACCCTTGGAAATCACAAAGGAAAGAGTCACTATAGCTCATTATCGAGTTTCGATTTGGAGTCATTATCGCTCATTTTGGGTTTGACTCCGTATTCATTATCGTTTGTAAATACGTTTGATTCTTCCTTTGTAGTTTCCTTCATAGAAAAGGGCTTGAAAAGCTCATTTCTTGGGTTAATTCGTGCTTGCTATTCTTTTTATTGCTTTTGGATTTAGTGGATATAACAATCACCTTTGGACAAAAAGGAAGGAAAGATAAGAAAATGGAAAGGTAAAGTAAAAAAGGGCTAATAAAATTAGAGTAAAAGACGTAAAAAGATATATAATTTGGTTAGGCTCAGTCGAATGTTATATTGAACTATTGCGTCTAGAATCATCGCATACTATTTTAGTGATATTTGGTGATTTATGAGGCAAGTCTACCCCTTCCCTTGAGGTAGCTCCATGATAGGGAGGAGGTATTGTCTATCTTTTGTTTCATTTATTGAGCTTTTATCCTATCGTATCATCACACAACAAATTTGCGGTAACTGATGATTTGAGAATCGAATCTACTCCTCCCTTGATCATCTCCATGATAGAGAAGGGCATAGAGAATAAGCATCTCTTGGAAACACTCTATTTTTGCTCTGTTTCAGCTCTGTTCCAGTAGGGTATTTCCTAGAAGTAGTGGCCAGTCAGCCATCATTCTATATGGCCGACCACTCTCTTAGGTCGGCCAACCACCTATTTTGTACAGACAATGGCATTTTTACGGCAGAACAGAGCAGAATCTGAGGCCAAAATAGAATAATTTTCTAACTGCAAACAGAGCAAATTCTGGTAGCAAATAGAGAGGTTTACGGAGGATGTTCTCAATTGCACGCATGTTCTTCCTCGCCTCTCGTTCAAATCCATTAGATTAGTAGTTTTAATATTAGTTTTGCTTCCATTCGGACTTGTAACGATTAACTAGTTTATTTGTGTTTGTAATAATTTAGTTAATTCATTTGGTGTTGTAATAATTAGTTAATTATGACATTCATTAGGACCCTTTTGTGTGAGGGCAAATTTGTAATATTTGTATGTCTTCCAACCCCATTTCTT